CCTCGCCTGCCGCTTCTTTCCGCCTCCTCCTCGGCCTGCCGCTCTTTTCCGCCTCCTCCTCGGCCTGCCGCTCTTTTCCGTCCTCCTCCTCAGCCTGCCGCTTCTTTTCCGCCTCCTCCTCTGCCTGCCGCTTCCCTTCCGCCTCAGCCCTTAAGCTTTGCTCTTCGGTCAATTTCTGGAGACGAGCAACTTCCTCCTGCAGTCGCTTCTTTTCAGCCTCTTCCTCGGCCTGCCGCTTCCGTTCCGCTTGGGCCTCTAGCTTCTGCGCCTCAGCCAGTTTCTGAAGACGGGCAACTTCCCCCTGCAGGCGTCCAATCTCGTCTTGCTTGAGCTTCACGTCCCCAGTGTCGTCGTGCAGAACAGGAGCAGGTGCCTCTGCTGGAGTTTTCCCTTCGTTGATTGTGTTCGACGCCTCCGCATCCTCCATTCCCAGCGATGCACCTGCCAGTGCGGCCATAAGCAGGATACATATACAGCACAAGGCAGCGGTGAAAGCTAGTTTCCCAAACATAGCGTGATGTCGCATTGTCATCTATCAAAGCCTCCTCTTTTGTGTTTCGTTGTTTTGTCGTCCTTCCTTGCTCGTCCGGTGCGGTTGTTGTCAGGCACACACACAAATAAGCCAGAAGAATAAATGCAATCCGTGCCAAAGCAGAAACACAGAGGCATTCAAACCAAATGTGACACAAAGAGGGGGAAGTCACCCATGTCAAACAATTTCTTGCAATAGAAAACTTTGGGTCAGCGCAGAAGTGGCGTGCAAACGGACTTACTGCAAAAAGAGCAGTGGGGGGAAAAAAAACAAGACCAAGACGACGGCAAGAATCACGCAGTAAACTGACCATAAACAGAAACAGAAGTTAAGGCCGAGAAACCACAGAAGGAGCTTACGACTCTCGAAGTACAAAAAACTCCATGCAGTCCCCAGGAACGCAGCTTATCCTTGGGGGATCTTTGCCCATCGTTTGAACACTCGTGCCGATGCGCATCGACGTCCCTCCGATACGCTCCGATTTCACTGGGGGACGGTTCGCCAAAGAAGGCGGTAGCGCGGGAGGCGCATCATATCCCACCTCCTCAAGCGAACGACATGGGCCACTTGATGTGGCCGCGAAAGGGTTTCGCGGACCAGCTTTCGGGCGGGGCACAGCGATTTTAACAATTTCAAGCGGCTTTACCTCCTTGACGGGCTTTGAAGGAATAAAATCATGGTGAATAAGCCGTCCAGCCGCAGCGTCCTCCTCTGCCTCTTCAAGAATCAACTCGGTCGACTTGATTGGGAGTGGCCGCAACCGCAGCTCCTCGTCCGCCATTGCCTTTGCAATGGCAAGGCCTTTAAGGCTGCTCTTTAAGAGGACAACCACATGCTTTAGCCCTCGCTCGGAGGCCACGTACAGAGGGTCTTTGCCGTCAACGTCGCATATATTGACGTCGGCCCCAGCATTCATAAGGTGGTAAACGGCGTTGTGAAGACCGGCCTTGGCTGCCAAGTAAAGAGGCGTTTCACCCCTGACGTTTTGCACATCCAGTTTCGCCCCGCGCCCCACAAGAATGTCAAGTATGGCGCAATTTCCTGTGCGAGCCGTCACGTGCAGCGGTGTTTCCTCATCACGGCCATTTTTGGCGTTGACGTTGGCACCGTTCTCTAGCAGCAACTGCACAACCTCTATTTTGCTGTTGAAACAGGCAATGTAAAGCGGGGTCTCGCCATCTTGCCCCTTCAGATCCACTTGTGCGCCGAGGAACAGCAGCTGTTCGACGGTGCGCCTTCCCACGTTCTTCTTCATAGACGCATAATACAGGGGAGTGTAACCGTCGGCGTTCACTAAATTCACATTTTCCAATGAGAACGCCCGCTCCATCGCGGCATGGTCCTCTCGTTCGATAGCACCAAACACGCTGCGGTCCATTGACACGGATCTAATGTTAGGCAAAAAAAAAGGAAAAGGAAAAGGAAAAAAAAGGTGCACATATATGAGAGCAATACAATTACTTATCGGTTTACTTACTGGAATGCTGTTCTGCACCTCATCCGTGGTTCCCTCCGCATCGGTTGACGAAAGCAGGAGGCTGCAATATTTATGTACACGCCTAGCTTGATTTGCTTCTTTTTATTTTTATGCCTTGTCACTCGTGCATAAGTTTCCAACGAGAAAGTGCGCGGTATTTATTCGAGAATTGTTGTGCGACTGCAGCGGCGGAAACCGAGAGAAAAGGTGCGCCTGCCGCGTTCAAATTTCTTCCTCCACAACGCAGTACTCTGACGAGTACGCCTCCGTGTTGCAATTTCCGCTGCATGTAAACACAAGCACATTCCCAAAGTGCAGAGATTGCTTCCTCGACCCCTTCTTGTGTGTCAGGAAGTAAATGATGGGCGACGTCAGCTGGAGCTCGTACCGGCGCTCCTTCCCGCAGTACGGGCACGGCGGTGCGGTCGCCGCCACGACGGAGGACTGCAATGGCTCCTTGCCAGGGGCCCAGCGCACACACTGCGACGGGGCCCGGCCGATGCGCTCCACATACTTGCGCAGGCGTTTTTCCTGCAGCGGCTCATCGTCCTCCTCGACAACTGCCGTCTCGACGACATTGTCCCCGTACTTTTTTTGCGCGTCCTGCAACTGATTCCTGAAGGCGGGGGAATTTGACCGCAACTTGGGCGGCTCCTCAAACACGTCAAGCGCGAAGCATGGGAAGCCCGCGCCTTTGATCGGCGGCCTTGACCCAGAAGGGGCGAGCGCAGCAGACGCCTCTGTGCTGTGCGTGTCCTCCACAGGCGCCCCGGTTGCCAGGGCCGCGGTGCCACTTCGAGCCCTGCTTCTGTTGGACTTCGCAGTCGCATCCTCCTCTTCCTCCTCTTCCTCCTCTCCATCTCCCCAGTTCGCGTCTTCTTTGAACAGAACCCCGTCTTCCATGCATCCCGGCTGCTCCGTCGGCCGCGATGCCGTTGCGTAGGCAGGGTTGAAGTTCTGTGATCGAAGCGCAAAGCAGAAACTGCTCTGCTCCGTGCTACACGCCGAGCACGTGAGGACGTACAACACCCGATCGTAGACCCCCAACGGAGCGTAAATCTGGGCCAACAACGAGACCGCATGCATGTCACCGCACTTGGGGCAATGGAACACCGCGTTATCCGTCGCCTCGCGAAACAAGGTGGCGGCCCCGCCTACTCTTGATGTATAAGCAGACCAAAGGTCTTCGCCGGCAGACTCCACTGGTGCTCCAAGCCAGACAACATCTCTTCCTGTCATCCTACCCTTCCTCCTTCGAAGGCAGAAGAAGAGAGCAAACGCGATGGAGGGCTAGATGTTTTTTTTTACGGTTGCTATTTCCAATCAACCCACCCAACTTTTTTGTTGTTGTTGTTGGCGCCCGCAGTTCTCATCTCGTGTACGGTGTGTACGCATGACCCCACGCACAGAGGCGTTAAAGAGCATTGCTGTCGGTGACAAAGAAGAAAAAGGGGGCCATGCGTACACACCGTACACAGACCAAGTAGGGTGCATTGCTGTCTAAAACAGTTCGGTCAGTGAACGCGTCAGCCAATCCCCTCCGTATGCCTCCTTTAGGTAGTACGGGGCGTTGTAGGGGCAGTGACTGAAGACATCTGCTACGGTGCACGGTTTCAGAGGAAAGAGCTCCGTCACGGGGGAGGTTCCATCAACAGAAGCCACAAAACCGTCACCGACGCTCGTCTCATGAAACTCGGCGCAAATTCGTTTGGTGCATTTTCGAAACACTCTCAGCGCGTTGCGCAGGCCCGTGCGAACCGTGGACACGACACCAAAGCAGCGCGCATCGAGGTCCCGCATTGTCGCCAAAAGTTTGTCGCTGTCGTCTGGCTTCACAAAGCCAATGTCAAGGTCCGCGTCCCAGAGCACAAGCCTTCCAAGTCTCGTGGATCCCAGCAGGGTGCCGTTTTGCAACCAAAAATAACGTTATTTTCCTCTAGCAGCCGCATGGAACACGTCAACGCGTCGCGAAAGGCCGCCTCTCTGTCGTAGTAGACATGGAAGCAGTAGGTTACGGTTAAGTACACCACGAAGCCCAGCAGCAGCACCACAATCGCACGTGTGCAGTACAGGCCAAGGGTGGCGCCGTCCCTGGAAAAGCTCTCAGCCATCGCGGAAGTAACTTTTTTTCTTTTTTCCTTTTTTTACCTGCGCTACTATCACAACCTTGAAGGTGGGTAAGGCGAGGTATGGTACAGACACAGTCCGGTCTCGCACTTCTCACACGGAGTGTGGGAAAAAGAGAAAGCCACACACACACAACATAAATAAGAATAATAATACCGGTGACTAGTTTTTACCGAAACTTGCACAGGTGTTTTCCCCCTCACTCGAGACCCCAGCAAATAACTATTTTTTAGAAATGCCTGGATACCGAAGTAGCAACAAGGCCTCTTGCTGTTTCCTTTCGCGTGCACGCGCGCATGCCAGTTCGCGCTCCAAGCGCGTTATTTGTAGGCGAAGCCGCTTGCAGTGGCAGCAGTCAAAGCTGCCATTCAACACATGTGTCAGTGGAACAAGAACGTCATTAAAGGGTGAGGCGGTGCGTTCTTGCCACGCATGCCTGTCCATACATTCAAGACTTCGCCCAACTGTAATACTCCGCTAGTAAAGTGGGTTATAACTGACACTCAATCAGGACAGCAAAGGAACAAAAATGACAATTAAAAGGCAGAAAAGAAAAAACCTCCTGTGGGGTGCCTGAGCATTGGCTTCACTGTCAACCCCTACAGCACTAGTCGCTGCACGCAATTGGGCCAGTTCCACGAAAACAAGCATGTAGTTTAAAAAAATGTGAAAAACAGGTGTGGCAGTTATGAGGGAAACACATGCAGCAATTTGAAGAGGATGTCCGTTGCACAAAAGACAGAAATTTCGTCGGAGAATCGAGACAAAAACATTTTTTATCAATTCCGACCAAAAAAAAAATCTTCAACGCAACTCCACAACCAGAGGAATAAAACAATGGTGTGTGGCAGTAGACTTGTAACAAGCCAAATCACAAATCGCAGTCCATCTCCATGCAATTGAATATAAGTCCCCAAATGCCAAGAGAAGTGGGGCAAAACGCGCGTGTACTTCTGGAAGGAGGAGTGGTGACAAACCAATCTTCTGATTGAGTTTGCATCAAAATTTTTAACCTGGTATATTCTATGTGTAGTAAACTTCCTCCTTTTGAAGAGTCAGTTGCCACACAGAAGAGGCACAACACTTCAAAATCAACCAAAGTGCCAATTCCGCCATGCCATGATTCCAGTTCAAGAAACACATAAACACTGCGACCACGTATTTTGCTATGGATTTAATGTCATTAAACCCCACTTTCAAGTATAGGTTAATACTAAGTAATATTGTAGATTGTAAATCTTTCCGCTCATCGAACGCATGCTCCCGGGTTAAGACATCCTGCCATGTGCATTCACCACAGGGCGCCAGAAGCACCAGAAGAAAAAAACACACACACCTAGAACAGCATCTATGATGCAGACTCCATTCATCACCTTCCGTTATTTCCACGAGAAGTAGTCGTATTCGCCTCAAGAAGGTACTCATGATCATTATGTTCACTTCTAATGAAGAAATGGCAGTTAGCATAAAAAAATTTATCCAGGTTAATTAATTCGGTTGCTCGCAATCTCGCAAATAATCCCTGCGTTTCCATCAAGAGGGATACATCCTTTGCGTAGCTTTCGGAAGCAGACTTCAGTAGCTCTGCTATTGAAAACGCTTTTGATTCCGCCAAATAAAACAGCATCCCTGGTGATTGGGGCATGCCAAATAATAATAATAACAATAACAATAATAATAATAATACTAATAATAATAATAATAATAGTAAAAGAGATATAATACATTTATTATTGTAAGGAAAGCTTCGTTGTCAGTTCCGTCCGAAAACATCTAAAAGGGTCAGTTTTGAAACAAATAAAGAGAACTTCCGCATCGGAACGTCTCATGGCTTGGCCAATTAAGAAGGAAGAAATAAACTATCCGGGTCCTTCCTCCCGAGGCACCTGAATCGTGGCATAAGTAAAAAAAGAAATGGTCGCCTGTAAAAAAGCAAACTTTTGCAAAAGTCCCCTCCAGGGCATCCAAAAAAAAACACCCGATCGGCGACGTACAAGGCCGTAGAATGTGAGAATTTACAACCGTTCTTCGAAAACAGGTGATACTCGTCTTCAATGAATCCACACACTGCGTCCAACCCAACGAAAAAGCAGTAATTATAGTGGCAAGAAGATCATCGCAGAAACCTAATTCCGTCTTAGAGGCCGCAAAGTTGCACTTCTCAATGACAGTCTTGTGGCCTATATCCTCAACAATTATCAAGAGAACTTCCAAAAAAAACACACACACAGCTTTTCGGATTGTGGTGTAGGAGCCAGCTCGACGGCAAGAATCGCAAATGATGGATCCAAAGCAGAAGCACACAGCACTAAGGGAAAAGATGCATTCCCTGTCATCAAGGTATCCGTAAACAAAAAAAAATCGTGGAATCGCTCGAAGCTGCAACTTCACAAATTACATAAAGTTCTGCAAAAAAAAAACAACTCCTCGCCACACAACCAGATCTGTTTACGAGCAAAAGCATCTAAACCTGTGGACATCACTGGAAAGATTTCGTCATTTTTCTCGTGGCGTGCGTTTAATATGCGAAATGTAATATATCTGTAGAGTGGACAGGCATAACCGCTCCATTGTCGTTGTAAAACAAAAGCATGAAAAGCAAGTATCTTCCTCTCAATGAAAAGGAAAGGCGTATACCCCGCCAATATATCCTGACAACCCAATATACACGAGTATAAACGATTCGCATGGTTAACAAATGCAGGATAAGGAGTTACAATAAGGGTCAGCTGCAAAAACAGTTGTATTACGCATTCTACAAGTTTTAGAAGAAAAAAAAGCCGGGCAATTCGATAATGTTTCATACCTGTAAGACCTGAGAGAGAGTTGATGATGCAATCAATCTTTCTAGGGCATCTAATAGTGGTTGCCATATCGAGTACAGCGATTATCTTTTTTTTTTTGCGCAACTCTTGAATTGATATAGGATCAAATGTGCTGCAACAAAGGTGCAACAGGTCCCAAATATTGTTAAAGTAGCGTTTATTGTGGGAGTAAAAAATGTCAAATGATTGACATGGCTTGCTTCTTTTCAGGCATCCTTTGGACTCCGTTTAGCAAAGGAAGGTGAGCCTCCAAGGGAAAGTGATTCAGAGAGAACAATATGGCTTGAGTAGCAACGAACGCCTTGTAAATCGTCTCTTCAAGTAGCCTGAAACACATAGTAGAGACGTAAAGAATGTCATATACACACAAGAGGTACAACTTAAGTATAATCCTACGCAAGCGCAGTGAATACCATAATGCCATCGTTTTGTGGAGTGATTGATTTCAAATTCAACCCTTTCAATTAAGTATAAAACCAACCTTGTTATGTTTCTTGAAAATCAAATTCAACACTTCTTATTCTGAGGCTGTAACGTCTTGATGGGCGTAGAGCCCGCCAGAAAATCCATCGTGATAAGAAGAAAAAAACTCGTAACAAAAAAACGTCGTCGAATACTAACCCATTACACCCTCTGAGGATAGGAATATACGCTGAGTGACAAATTTTCACATCCAACTCTGGTGTACAGTGTAGGACGCAATAGAAAGTACTCGCGTCCATGCTTGAGATGTTATCGATAAGGTCAAATGCATGTGGATGTGCGTATTTCATGGATTTAATAAGACTGGAAACATCCAGAGGGGTGTATGAAACAGCACACAAAAATTCCTAGGAGCCTCGCTATATACCGTTGTGGATAGGGCCCCAAGCAAAGTAAGCGCTGCAGAAACAGAAGAGCTACACTGAGGTTACCCAGCTTGCCAACCTCCTCTGGTGTGAAGTGGCACAGCCCCATTTCGTTCATTGTAAGCCTACAAGTCGCAGCCGCCGCGACCTTGTGACCTTTTATTTTATTTTATTGTTGTCCCAGTTCCCTTCCGCTTCGTCTTTTGGTTCGTTGTTTTCATGAAGAAAGACGAGGTTAAAAGGAAGGTGGTGACCTGGAAAGCGGTGAGCCGACCATTCAAAGATAGGAAATGGCCGAAGCACCCTCCTATAGGAAATCCAGCGCGTCCCTGGAAGAGAGCCGCCATCCGGCACCGCCTCACGGCGACGGCGCGCGCGCCAAGAAGGAAGAAGAAAAAAAAAAGAAAGATGTGTACCGCCCCGTCTGCTATCATTTCTTCCTTCCTTCTTTTTTTGTACTTGTTTCTTTTTGCTTTTTCTTCTCCATCCCTTCCATCTTCGCCACAGCGGCCCGCTATCAGGGGCAGAAAGGGAGAATAAAAAAAAAAAAACATGTGTGTGTACAACATTTGAGATGAGCCGGTCTTAACGACAAACAAGAGCCACCACTAATAAGTGGTGGTAGGTAATAAATCAAAAAACCTGGGCCGCTACGGGAATTGAACCCGTGACCTCCTGTACCCGAAACAGGAATCATACCACTAGACCAAGCGGCCAACGACGGCGCCTTGGCGATTCCCGGCTTAACATATGTGACTTCATTTAAGAAGAGGAAAAGCTATATCTCTCGAAGATTGACATCAGCCTTGCGCAGGGAGAGTGCTAATCTTCTCTGTTGAATTTCCAGATTGTGGATGTCCCCCACCTTGCGGCAGAGGCTCCGATGTGCGAGGAGCAATATTCTTTGCAAACTTAGAAAAAATAGAGTAAGAATAATATTTACAATATATTCTCCCAAGCGATAAATGTGGCGCGGCGCACCGGCCGCTTAGCACAGTGGCAGTGCACCACTCTCGTAAAGTGGGGGTCGCGAGTTCGATTCTCGCAGTGGCCTTTATGTGGGAGACTTTTTCCATCCTACGACGATCCTTTTTCGCACGAAAAGCGAGTCCTTCCGGCCGGAATCGAACCAGCGACCCTGTGATTGCCGCCAGACAACTCTACAGTCACATGCTCTACCAATTGAGCTACAGAAGGTCTGGCGGCCGACCCCGAAACCGCACTGTGGCGTTGTTTCATAACTTCCAACACAAAAAAAAACCCAAAAATAGTTTATGTTGCTGTCGAGACCACGGACAGGATCGAGTCCTCCCTGGCGCAGTCGGCAGCGCGTTAGGCTGTTAACCTACAGGTCGTTGGTTCGAATCCAACGGGAGGAGCTTTTCCGCCGTTCACAGAGACTCCTTTTCCTTTGGGAGTTCCCGCCGAGGAGGCGAACGGACAGAGACAACAGCACTCAATACGCCGCTGAGGGAAAAAAAAAAAAAAAAAAAAAAANAAAAAAAAAAAAAAAAACAAAAAAAAAAAGAAAATAAGAAAAAACAACGACTACGAC